TTTAGATCCTACATGGAGAAAAAGAGAGAAATAAATTCATTAACATTTTTTTTTTTTTTAATTCTAATCAAGAACATGCTAACAAAAATTACTTCTGCCCACAAAAGTAGAAAAAAGTGATGTCATTAACAATAAATGAAAGTATATATATTTACACAGGCCAAAGGTGCAGTGGCCTGGGCATCCAATCAGAGAGAGTAATAAGACAGTGATTTTAAACTTCCAGTGATGATAGATAAATTTTTGGATTGATTGATTATTTAAAACTATCTGCCGCGTCAACAGCTAAGGTCATTAGCGGCGATACAATTTTTTGGAGACTCAACATACTACAGAAACGTCAGCCCTTTTATTTCTTTAACCCAATGGTGCCGGGGAAAATTTTTAAAAAATGGGGAAAATATTGTGCCCACTTTATATGTTTTTCGTGAAATGTCTGCCGATAGATGGCTCTATCAGATTTAGATGGTGGGAAAAACGTATTTTTCACTAGTGCTATGAAAATCGATGGTGTTATTTTTATCATAAACATTATAATTTTTATAATTTTTTTTTAACATTAGTAACAGCAAAATAAGATTACGTAAAATATTTTGTAAATCAAAGAAACGGGTAAATGAGTGAGACGGGCGGTGCTCGTAACTGGCTCATTGGGGAGTTAGTACAAGTGTTGCCATCTATGCGTAAAAACAATCAAACAAGTACTCACTGTGGGCATAGCACGTACCTACACGTCATACCCGGCACCAAGGGGTTAACATGGTATACCGTTTCTGTATAGAGAAAAAGGTGCATCCCACATACATGCACAATACATATATGGACTTGAATTTGAAGAAATGATGGTGAAGTTATCCACAATGCAATATATCTGTCAAGTGAATATTGAGAAAACTGGGAAATTTGCATGTACAAGGAGAAGAAGAATGCCTGGAGAGACGGCAAGGGATAGTGGACTGACGGCACAAGAAGAAATGCATAGAGTAATTGTACAGATTGTGAACCGATTAAAAATGGAAATTCAAGGACTCTGTGGCCGGTTTTCATTCCTCCTGTACTTGAATTCAGAAGTAATTGAAGATGAACAAGAAAGAGAGAAATGGAAAAAATAACATTCAGACTTTAGAAATCATTATGATAACGATGTGGCAGCCATTCAGTTCTATGACAAAATTATTGATTTTGAGCTGAAGGGAATAGAGTTCCCCCTAATCCTAAAGATGGTCAAGAGACTTTACTGCAGTGCAGTATGGGAGGGGTGTCTTTCTAATGCTGTGTGTGTCATACAGATTACTGCTTGAATTGTTTCAGTTGCAAGATGTGAATGGTCATTTTCAAACCTGAAGTTAATAAAAACATATCTGAGTTCTTAACAGGAGCAACTGATCAACCTGGTTTTAATAAGCATAGAAAAAGAATCTCTCACAGCCAATGTAAAATGTGAAGTGGTTCAAGTGTTTTCTTACAGGGGGTACTGTTTGGGATTTTTTTTTAAATACATTTGGCTAATTTATACCTAAATCAAACAAAGTATTTATTTCATGTTTCATCTGTATTTACATATTGAAAATATCTTGCTTTTTCATAATATTTCTCACTACTAGGCCCAATACTTGAGTCTTTCAGGCATATAATCAAGGAGTTGGTCCCGGAAGTCACCAGCCCTCTGCATGACACTGACAGACAGACAGACAGACAGAGAGACACAGACACACAGACACACACATACACGCACACACACACAAAATATCAACTTCAAACTTTGTTATATAAAACACAGTATAAGTCTAGTAAATAGAGAATTCCATCTTTCAGTGATTAAATGTCACTGGAAAAATATATACAGCACAGCATTCTCCTTCCATTCATCAAAATGCAAAACTAATCAATAAACCTCAAGAGTACAAATATTTGCTTGCATTGCGATATCAAAATACTGATTTTCTGGTTACACATCTACCTTTGGATTGCAAAACACTTCACACTGCTAATGCCATATCAAACTAAATGCCCAATTATTGATAACTGATATTATATTGACAGGGAAACCATAGTGAAAATCAAGGTAAAAATTAGAAGAAACCCTATGCCTCCATCGACTGCAAAGCCAACAGCCTATACTCTGGCAAGAGATAGATCATAGACTAACTTATCCTCAAAAAAAGGAACCCGTGCAAGCTCTATCTTGACAGAATATACAGTGTGGAGATCCGTTAGCCTTTGCCATGGTGATTTGCTGACAAAGCACCCCTATGACTTTAGACTTCAGCTTATAGACCTCACGTCAAAGACACAAGATTTTAGTCAATTTGGGCAGAACATTGTAACTGCCAATATCTTCAAAATATTCAAACATCATATCTATGGTATTTAACTAAATGTGATAAGCAATAATCTATTAGATTATGGTGAGAAGGTTTTATTCTAAAATCCATTATGCATTTACTGAAAGCAAATCTAAATTATATTTTATACTTATAAATCACTGCATAAATGTTGTATCTTTCGTCATCGTGTTTAAGATATTTTTCAAATACAAAATCAAAAATGTTATCAAGAATCATTATTCGCAATACAATTATTTATTCCAAGAGCTGCCAGTACTACTGATATAACATAAGAGAAATACTAGTAATTGTATAAATATACAAGATACATATATGATAATAATTAATTATTTTTATATAAAATTTGTTATTTGTAAAGGTAGTTCATAATAAAAAAAAAAAATAATAATAATAATAATAATAAACAATAATAATTATGATGATCATAGGAACAATAATAACAATATATAATAATAAAATTCCATAAGGATAAATAACCACTAAATATTAAATGAAATTGAACAATAATAATGAATATAACTATCAAAATGAAACTCCCTCATAGGTAACTATCACAAGGACAGATTTATACAACTACTTTCTCTAAATTTCAGACAAAGGAATCATTCAAAAGCACTACATAAGCTTGGCTCAAACCTACGATTTTTCAGTGAACTATAAGCCCTTACTACTGTACGTAATACTTTTTCTAGTATAAAACGTGACAATTTACTCTTCACTGGCCTATTTACGTACCTGAACTGGGTAATTATTAGATAATTAACTAATATACTATTCTAATAACTATCTAACTTCACATGCTACATTGCTACTGAAGATATTAATTATGCACATAAAAATACAAAATACAGATTGCAGCAAAGATATAGATTTGTGCCGGTCGTCTCTACGATTGTTCCTAAAAAAGGGATAATTTTTTTTCCATCATGTACTGTATTTTGAGAGTTATTTTCACTTCAATATTTATAAGATTACTAATATCTTAATACAACTTATAATTATTATTTGTTAGACACTTCTGAAATTGTTCATTTTGCTGTATGTATTGGGTATTTTTGTATTATCTTCCATATTTCTTACATTTTAGAAGAAGACTAAGAAGACAAAGAAGATGAAGAAGAAGAAGAAGATGAAGACAAAGAAAAAGAAGAAGAAAAAGAAGAAGAAAAAGAAACTTCTAAATCACGACTACTGTATGAAGCAATGATTGCATACTTGGTGAATAATTTTGCTGACCAGAGTTAAAATCTGCAAAGTCAGTGAATGGTGACCTTGGCCACTCCTTACACACTTACAAGTTCAATAAAAGACAGCTGTAATATAACTGATGCCACAATAGCCTATCCCACACCCAATATCATCATCATTATTATTATCCCTATTATCATTATTATTATTTACTCCTTTTCATTACTGTCATTATTATAAATATTATTTGAACAGAGTAATCTTCCTTCCAAGCTTTCCTTGTCATTGTAAAAAGAAAGAAAATTATAGCATGACAAAAAAATGCAATTTGAAGATCAATTTTCTGTATTCTGTATATTTGATGTTTGAATTTGTTTGAAAGAATTTATTTCCTAGAATGATGGGTGTGAATGCATGTGTGTGTATATATATCTATATATCTATATATCTATATATATATATATATATATATATATATATATATATATATCTCTCTCTCTCTATATATATATATATATTTATAAATATATATCTATATACATACATACATATATATATATATATATATATATATATATATATATATATATATATATATATATATATATATATATATATATTGTATTTGATATTTCTGATGAACAACATTTAAATTTAATTACTGTAATAGTGTTTCACATTCATAATACTGAAAATAAATCTGACGTAGGTTTTACATTAATTTCGTTTTGTATTACTCTACAATCCATTAGCATACATATAGTTTTCTCTGTAATAATTTTAATATGACCAATAATTTTTGCAAAAAAAATCAATAGTTCATAATGAAACAATCTTAAAGGAAAAAAATACATTTAATCTATTTCATTACCAAAAAACTGTCAAAGATAAAATTGATAGCAATTGGAATTTAACATAACTCGCAAAATTATGCTTGTATAACAAGTAAAAAATTATACGGCTTATGCCACACATAGCTTTCATAATCTTCCCTTTTTCCGAGACGACTGCAGCACGCAAATCCCCACCTTTACCCTAACTACTAAGATTAAATGCAAACTTTACCCTACCTACTACATCTAAATCAAGAATTTACCCTAGCTACTACGAGTAAATTCCTACTTTTCCTCAGTTACTACGAATAATTCTGGGCTTTATCCTAGTTACTAAGAATAAATCCAGGCTTTATCCTAGCTACCATGAGTAAATCCTCCTACCAGATTCCTCACACTGAGTCCACACAGCACAGGAACAGCCAGACACATACCTCACACTGTAATATCCAAGGAGGCAAACAATGCAACACTTGACATGCATTTTCCTGGTCGAAGCTCACTAAAAATGACAATATCCAGGCAGAAATAGAGGATAACACAGAGAAACACAGAGTAACACAGAATAACACAGGCAATTCACACTCGGGGTCCTCGTCAAGGTAAACGCTGTGGTAACTTTCACTCTCAC